CGCCCAGCATGCGACACGTGGCGGCAGCTGAGAGGGCGGCTCGCCAAGGTGATCCTTGGAGATTTTGAAGTCCTTTTTTTTTCTTTTTTCCTTTTTCTTTGAAAGCTTTTTCAATATTCTATGGCAGGGGCTCCCCGGCAAAGGGGTCCTGGTTCGTCTATTCGGCCCTGGAAGTGTGGGCCGGTAATAACTGGGCCAGGCCATTTCCGCTTGCGTGTACTCGCACTCGTCCTAAAAAAACCAGCATCCTTCCTTCCCTTCCGAGAGAGAGAGACCGAGAGAACAGAGAGAGAAAGAATGGCGTCGCGATTGCTGACCAGATCCAAAGCCCTAGCGCTCGCCGCCGCCCGCGCCGACGCGGCCGCGCCGTCGCCGCTCGCCGCCGCCTGGGGCGCCCGCGCGCTCTCCGCCCTCCCCCGCGATCCGGCGGCCGCATCCCCCGCCTCGTCGCCGCGGCAGCCGGCGGTGGTCTCGCCGCTCGGCCTCTCCAAGGTCCGCCTCTCCCTCACCCCCCCTCTCTCTGTCTGGTAGCTTACGTCGACTGGCCTGGCTGCTTCTTGCTCCGGTTCTGGGGCTGTAAGCCTGATGCGCCGCTCGTTCGTGCTCGATCTGATCGGTTCGTGCGATTGCCCGATTCCGTTCCGCGAGCGCCGGATTTCTGTCTTCTGTTAGGTGGTTAACTCGTTGTGTTGTGCTTCATATTTTTGGGGAGTTTTACTTAAGACTGCTAGCATGTATAGGCCTGGGCAATGGAGTGATTTTGTATGTAGGAATTGTAGTTATGCTTGTATGATCTGCAGCATCTCTAGCTCGGTCTATTTGTGCCCTGGACGGTGAGGGAAAATGAAGCAAGTATTTTGTAGTTAGTAATTTTCGCTTGTGCGTTCCTGCCTCATCAAGCTTATGTTGCGGGTTAGGCTTGTGGTGTAAGGTGAACTCACCTCTTTGCCTTTGCGCTGGCTGATTGCATCTCCAGAGCCATCGAGTTTGAGAACGAAAACTGAACAAAACTCTGAATTGGGTTGATAAACAGCTGGTGAAATTGGCGTTCATTGTGGCGCAATAGTGACTGCACATGACATTGAGTTAGGGATGTAGTCATGTAGGCAGCGAAGCTTAAAGTATTATCTTTAGTTTACATAAACTGAAAAGGGTATCCTTCCATACTATTGGTTTAGTTTGCGAATCTGCTTCACTTAAATTTCAGCCTGAGCTAGTAGTTGACTAAAGGGGAATGCTCAGTACCTTGGAGATATCATATCACTAATTCACCATGCTAATGTGTTTCAACAAGGGAGATTCCTGCTAATAGTATATAACTGCTGATTATACGCAAACAGGATATATCATGGTTTGACTCAATACTCTTGATTACTTGGCACATATGTAGTCTCCTGTAGTTTCTTATGCACTCTGTACTGCCAGGCTGCCAGCATTGGATAGGACGTACTTGGTGTTAAATTCATTGATGTTGCTTTACACAAGTTCCATATGCATTGGTCAATAGTAGTTCTTCCCTGTTTCGTGGAGAACTGAAGTATAAAGTAGGAACTAGAACTTGTCATACTGTAGTACAGTTCTACTTTTGCTTTTCACAGGGATAGTGGGATTCTAGATGCATGGTTTGTGAGTCTGCTCTATCTATTTATATATGTATCTTACTGATGAATGACTAAAATACCAATAGTGCATTTGGTTTGCCTGATTGATCAGTGATCATTGATATCTAGCAGGTGCTAATTTGTGAATCGTCTCTATTTAGTTATCTATGTATCTCACTAATGAAAAGACCAAATACTAACAGTTCATTTGGTTTGCTTGACTGATCAGTGATCACTTCATTGGATGTACAATTTTTAAGAACTTTCTCTACTTGTTGTGAAATAATAGTTATATGTATTGTTGGTATTCATTGATGCTGCCAACATTGTATATTATTGTGAAATAATTTTAGTGGTGGTGCCAACATGAGATAGGATGCTCTAGTTGTGAAATTCATTGATGGTGCTTTACACATCCTTCATATGCATTCTGCAATAATAGCTGTTCTCCCTAGTGCATGGAGAACTGAAATCTAAAGGTGGAACTATAACTCGTCATCTTGCATCGAGAACAGGGACTTTGTAGTACAGTTCTGCTTCTGCTTGTCACACAGAAAGTAGGATTCTAGATGCATGGTTTGTGAGTCTGCTCTATGTAGTTATATCTATCTTACTGTTGAATGACTGCAATACTAATAGCGTGTTAGGTTTGGCAGGTGCTGGTTTATGAGTCTGCTCTATGTAGTTACCTATGTATTTCACTGATGAAAGGCCAAAATACCAATAGTGCATTTTGTTTGCTCGAGTGATCAGTGATCATTTCATTTCTCAGCATGCTGTACAATTTTTAAGAACTTTCTGTTCCTATGCATGTCTACCAATAGTGCAAGCAGATTCTAGGATATGAGCAGGCATCTCGACTCGGTGGCACACACATGTTACCTCGCTGGTTTTCTACTGGAGCCTCCAATGGATCTTCTGATCAGCAGGTGCGGGTGTATTCCTGGTGCCAGTTTTATGAGACCTGTGTTTCATCAGTTTGTTTTCTCACTTACCAGAATTCATTGCTAGAAGCTTGCAATTGAAACTTTCCTATGCTTGTAGACCTCAAAGACAATTGCTGGGATGGTACAATCGGATGCACTGAAATCACAGGAGGGAGCCTCAGCGAAGGTCGCAGCATTCAGCCCCATGGAAGCAACCATTAGCAAGCCCAGAAGCAGTCCATTGACACTCGAAAGCTTGAAAGTGAGGCGGACCGAGATGATGACAAAAGTCACGTTCTACATGATCCCGACTCTGCTCCTGGTGTCGAAGAACAGCATCAGCACTTCTCTCCTGATCGCGTCAGTGTACCATCAGGTCTACATGTTCCACAAGGAGATCCTCCTGGACTACGTCCACCACGACATCACCAGGAAGTGGGCCTTGATATACTTCAAGCTGCTCTTGCTAGTCATGGCCAAGGACACGATGGTTTACTTTGATCTGTTCTAAGTGCCTCCATGGTAGTAGTTTCTCGAGAGATGCCACCAGGAACCCGCCCATCTGTACACTGGAATAATCGTCAAGGTGGACAAAATGCCCGACCGCTGGTTCTTCTTCTGTCTCGCATATCAAGTTGCTGCGTTTTTCTTTTTCCTCTTATTATTTCTGTGATTGATTATTGGACAAGTAATGTTCAGTTGTCACAGAGTACTAGCTTATATGGGAGCAACGTTTGCCCTAGTTTTGTAATAATGGTATATATCAACCCTTGACGTTCTGTCGTTTATTGCTCTTGTTCTGCAAAAAAATTAGTAAATGCCATGTTTACCTGTTGCACTGCAATTGTTTCTCTGTGTTGTAGCAGTGTCCAGTCTGTTTGGAGCATGAAAGGACTCGTTGCCTTTGCAACTCTGCCATCAGCTGGTACCATACATCTAAATTTTCCAGGTCTCTGATTCCGTTACATGTGTGCGAGATGATTGACAGACACCTACTGACCAGCAGCTGATAGATAATAGTGGTGTCTGGTGAGATGCGACTCGCAGCATGTTTGCCCAGGTATCAATGGCATTGGTGGAACGATGAAACTTGATCGGATGCAGCATATGCAGTGGAGAATAAAGCCTGTTTCGAGAGAACACAAAGAAGCAGTGTGTTTCTTGGTTTTATGTTTTTTTTTCTTTTACTAGAAAACTTGCCACCGCCAGACTTGTATATGTACTTGTGCATGGTCCTCAGCTGTGAGCAATGTCACATTCTGCTTCCATACTTTCTACTCTTAATATCATCCTTGCTACAAATCATTATCGGAAAACAAAATCCTTACTACTCCCTTTAGTGATTTATAAACGGTTTTATATTTCTTTACAAAGGGAGTACATGTGTAAAAAGACTCAAGCTGACAGTCTCCAGCTAGGTGCATAATGTAGATTATATAGTCTCCAACTCTCCATGGTAAGAGTTGTGTCCCTTTCAATTTAGGAGGTCTGCTGATCAGTCAATTATTCGCATAACTTTAGTGTAGTTACCATCCGCAGTCCACAATATGTTTGGGTTCTTACAAAATAATTGAGCACACTCCTTTTTCTCTGAAGTTCTGAACCTTTGAACATGAATTATGTGCATGTTTTGTGTTAGTGAAATATTTGTTCTTTTCCCTGACAAGAAATCTTTTGTAGGGTTTGGAACCTGCAGACGAGGCCACCTCAAATCCGTTTCTACCACCTGAAAGATCTAGGTACCATACTATTGCTACATCCGCTCCGCCGCCACCAGGCACCAGCACACCTCCAGGACGAGCTCCCAGCCGGCGGCCATGGCACCAGCACACCTCCAGGAGGAGCTCCCACCAGGCTGAGGAGGCAGCAGCCGGAGGAGCGACGCGTTTCCTCCCAGATGAGATCATCATCTGGGAGATCCTCGTCCACCTGGACCCGAGAACCCTCTTCTGCTGCCGTGCCGTCTGCCGGGCCTGGCGCCTCGTCACCTCCACCCGTCGCTTCCTCCTGGCGCACCATGCCCGCCAGCCCGCCCTCCCCGTCTTCCCTGACGACGGCTTCGGCATCAAGTACAATAGCATCCTCGCCTTTGACCACCCACTACCGGACTCGCGGTCTATGCCTACGGCCACGGGTTGTCGGCATAGGCCCCTAGGCCGTCGGCATAGATCTATGCCTACGGTTGCCGTCGGCATAGGCCCGTCGGCGTAGTCTTGTCAGACCGTCGACATAGTATAGCCGTCGGCATAGGGGCCTATGCCGACGGTCTAACGTCAGCCGTCGGCAGTGTTTTCCGTCTAACGGCAACGGACGGCGCCGTCAAAAGCGCTGACGAATCACGCAATACCACGTCGCAGAGCTCTGCCGACGGCAAAGCCGTCGGCATACCTCTGCCACGTGGCAACCCGTGGTACTCCTGGTGGCAGGGCTATGCCTACAGCAAAGCCGTAGGCATAGATGAATCTATGCTGACGGCTTTGCCGTAGGCATATCTCTGCCACGTGTCATCTCCTGGTTCCTCCTGGCAGCAGGGCTATGCCTACGGCAAAGCCGTCGGCATAGATTATCAGCTATGCCTACGGCTTTGCTGTAGGCATAGATGTGCCACGTGGCAAGCCCTGGTAACTCCTGGGCGTATATATGCCGACGGCTTTGCCGTAGGCATAGTTTTCATTTATTTATTATTTTCCCTGTTTTCTCTTTTCCAATTCATTTGACAGCATTTCAAAACAGAACAATATGAAATTATGCAGAAATATGACAATTCATCATGTAAACATACTCAAGTTCATCTAAACATACTCAAGTTCACCATCATCATCTAAACATACTCAAGTTCATCACATCATCTAAAGATCATCACCGACGGAAGTTCATGAACATAAAAGTAGTGCAAGACATGAAACATCATAAAAGTAGGAATATGAAAGGCATGGCACGATGGCCACATGCACGGAATCATCAAGCAAGACCACCTCCGCCAAAACCACCACCTCCTCCGCCAAAACCACCACCACCTCCGCCAAAACCGCCATCGCGACCACCACCACTCTGCCAGATCGGAGTGACTGGGTCGACGGAGCAGGAGTCGAGCCACCGGTCCCCTACATGTTTCAGAAAAGATTATAACGGTAAATATGATATGATAGTGTTTCATGAACGAGAACTAGTTTGCCAGTAGTTAGGCAAATGTACTAACCGGACCATCACTGCCTAGTGCCACCCATTCATCGAACGTGGGCATGTGTGGGGGTTCTCCCGCAGGTGGTGGTGGGGTTCCCATTTGTGGTGGATCCGTGCAGTTAGTCCAAGACGCCAACATAGCCTGAATGTTAGTTAAACAAGCAAACTAGAAGATCAGAAGGAATGAAAGTGCAAAAATTTAGCTTGGTTTTAAGAGGGCAAAACTAACCGTCATCATCTGACGGTTGTAATCATCGTTTGCCTTCACTCGTTTCAAGTACTCCCGCACCTCGAGATTCCTATGCTCAACAAACTCCTTATATGCCTACATAATTTAGGTTGTTTCTAAGTGAGCAATGCTGAAAATAAACTGAGAATGCTAGATAGAAAAAGATAAAGAGGAAGTACTTACAGCATGCTGGCGGGCTAAGGGAGTCTGTGAACGCCCCGTACTCTCTAACTGGCTCGGGTTGGTAGCCCGAAGCCGTGTGTACGAGATCGAAGGAGTGATCAAGCCGTCGAAACACGGATACCGGCCATTCTTCTTCCCCTGGATGGCCACCACTGCCGTGTCGTCGATCTGAGACTGGGCGACCTCAGCAACAGGAACATCCGGATGCAACTCCTGATAGTGATGAATGTAAGACCCCAGGTGCTCCTCGGTCTTGCCGTAGTACTGGCTCTCGCCCTCCTTGCGATGACTCCGCTCGCGGGCCAGCTTCCACGACTCCATGTCTGAGAGCGGCCTCTTCAACTTGTCCTCCTACAACGTCAAATAGAAGTCAGCCATACATAAGAACATGACGGTAAAGAAGAACAAAAATGCATCATGCACATAGATATACCTTCATGGCCTTGAAGCCCCAGTGGTTCCTGTTTCCTTGGCCGTGTGTCTCGTCCTCTCCACGGTTAGCCCGGGCCTTGATGCTTTTGGCAGCAAACTCTGCATCGGCGCCGAGCCACCTATCCATCAAACTCGCCCATCCGTCATGCCTTCCATAGCACCAACGAGGAACAACCTATGCAAATTTTGGAAGCATGACATGTGAGCACGAAACATATAGTTGACTGCTTGAAACAATGAAAACTTAGTAATAGTTACCATCATGAACTGCTCCCTGCTCAAGGTAAGTCGTAGCTTCTGCGCTTGAGTTTTGGTCATCTTTTGGTGCAGGTTGAAGGAAATATGCCCTAGAGGCAATAATAAAGTTATTATTTATTTCCTTATATCATGATAAATGTTTATTATTCATGCTAGAATTGTATTAACCGGAAACATAATACATGTGTGAATACATAGACAAACAGAGTGTCACTAGTATGCCTCTACTTGACTAGCTCGTTAATCAAAGATGGTTAAGTTTCCTAACCATGAACAATGTGTTGTTATTTGATTAACAAGGTCACATCATTAGTTGAATGATCTGATTGACATGACCCATTTCATTAGCTTAGCACCCGATCGTTTAGTATGTTGCTATTGCTTTCTTCATGACTTATACATGTTCCTATGACTATGAGATTATGCAACTCCCGTTTGCCGGAGGAACACTTTGGGTGCTACCAAACGTCACAACGTAACTGGGTGATTATAAAGGAGTACTACAGGTGTCTCCAATGGTAGATGTTGGGTTGGTGTATTTCGAGATTAGAATTTGTCACTCCGATTGTCGGAGAGGTATCTCTGGGCCCTCTCGGTAATACACATTACACAAGCCTTGCAAGCATTGCAACTAATGAGTTAGTTGCGGATGATGTATTACAGAACGAGTAAAGAGACTTGCCGGTAACGAGATTGAACTAGGTATTGGACACCGACGATCGAATCTCGGGCAAGTAACATACCGATGACAAAGGGAACAACGTATGTTGTTATGCGGTCTGACCGATAAAGATCTTCGTAGAATATGTAGGAGCCAATATGGGCATCCAGGTCCCGCTATTGGTTATTGACCGGAGACGTGTCTCGGTCATGTCTACATTGTTCTCGAACCATAGGGTCCGCACGCTTAACGTTACGATGACAGTTATTATGAGTTTATGCATTTTGATGTACCGAAGGTTGTTCGGAGTCCCGGATGTGATCACGGACATGACGAGGAGTCTCGAAATGGTCGAGACATAAAGATTGATGTATTGGAAGCCTATGTTTGGACATCGGAAGTGTTCCGGGTGAAATCGGGATTTTACCGGAGTACCGGGAGGTTACCGGAACCCCCCGGGAACCAAATGGGCCTTATTGGGCCTTAGTGGAAAGGTGAAAGGGGCAGCCCAAGGTGGGCTGCGCGCCTCCCCCTCCCCTAGTCCTATTAGGACTAGGAGAGGTGG